GGTCTGTCCATTCATCCATCCATCAGTCCATCCGTCCATCCATCCATCTGTCCATTCATCCGTCTATTCGTCCATCCATCCGTCCCTCCTTCCACCCATTTGTCCATCCATCCCTCCGTTCATCCATCCATCCGTCTTTCCCTCCAGCTGTCCGTCCCTTCATCCGTCCCTCCCTCCATCCCTCCATCTGTCCATCCATCCATCAGTCCATCCGTCCATCCGTCCGTTCATCCATCCATCCATCCATCCGTCCGTCTGTCCGTCTGTCTGCCCCAAACCCAAACCTCTTTTTTCAGCCAGGTCTTCAATCTCTTATTGCCTGGTGAGGTGCACACTCTGTTCCGTCCAGCAGGGGCACCAGAAGACGTCTGCAGGAGCTGTGGTCGTCAGGGTTGGTCTGACAGGACAGGACACGACAGGTGGGCTGATGGGAAAAAAAAAAGAGGACAAGATACACGTCATTCCATCCATCTGTCCCTCCCTCCATCTGTCCGTCCGTCCATCCCCAGAGTGCGTCAGGGTCAGAGGTTCGATTCCTCCAGGTGACCCACCAGGTCCTGGGTGGTGAAGGGACAGGCTCTGGCCCGCAGACCGAAGGCTACACGACACTGGTCGTCCACGCCGTAGTACAGACCGGGCTTGGAGTCCTGGATGGAGCCGCTCACTGCAGGGAGGTCCCTCAGACAGGCCGCACCCCTCAGGCTGGAACAGCAGAGGGCGACAGAGTTGATCAACATTTTTTTTTAGACCAGATTCTTCTAAGAACTCTTTAGTACCGTTTAGGTCTCGTAGCCTACGTAGGGACCCGACGTCTGGGTTTGATACTGGGTCACAACCAAGGTTTTTAGGAGCATACTGCCCCCTGCTGTCCTAGAGTGTGTAGTGTCAGGACATTTGTATCGGTTCTAAACCCATGGTTACAACAGTGGTAGTCGGTCCAGTGGTCTTCAACCAAACGACCCCAGACCATCCGTCCATCTGTCTGTCCCTCCATCCATCCATCAGTCCATCCATCCATCTGTCTGTCCATTCATCCATCCATCAGTCCATCCGTCCATCCATCCATCTGTCCATTCATCCGTCTATTCGTCCATCCATCCGTCCCTCCTTCCACCCATTTGTCCATCCATCCCTCCGTTCATCCATCCATCCGTCTTTCCCTCCAGCTGTCCGTCCCTTCATCCGTCCCTCCCTCCATCCCTCCATCTGTCCATCCATCCATCTGTCCATCCATCCATCTGTCCATCCATCCGTCCATTCATCCATCCGTCCATCCATCCATCTGTCCATCCATCCATCTGTCCATCCATCCATCCAT